GATTTTGAGTGAAATATTGCGGTCTTCATCAAAGTTGTTCATATGTATTGGATGGCGAACAGCGCAGTTACTTACTTGCTCTAACTTGAAAGTTCAACTAGATAGAAAGTATTCAAAGTGTTTTTATTTTACTTCATACGCGAAGTTAACGATTTTCAGAGTTGATTGGAAATGCTAACATTTCCATTTCCAACATTTCCAACCAACTCTAGAAAGTAGCTGTTTTTGGCGAATTTATTCAGATTAATAAGACCTATTGGATGGTGCGCACAGTTTGGATCAGAATACTGTCTCCAGAAACGTAAGTGTGTCTTTGAAATAACTTACCTTACCAATCAGGCTATGGCCTTGTTGTCCTCTGCTGTCCGAAGAAGAAATCCATGGCCACACTTCGCCAGCCTCGTAGTCTGCGAAGGGTCCGCAGGTCGCCTTCTACTTGGTCGATCCAACTACGGTGGGCTGCCCTAATAAAAAATTACCATAAACGAACGATAATCCAAATGATTGAACTATTCCACAAATGGTTTGGATGATACCCAGAACACGTCGTTAAGCAAATTAACCATAACATTTTTATTAGAGTGGGCACGTCGCCCAATTTTTGCAATGTGGACGATGGATGGTTCTCCCAGCAGCTGGTGCAATTCGTGGTTCATTTGCCTCCTCCACGTCCCGGCATCCATCTGCACTCCACCGTAGATGGTACGCAATACTTTCCGTTCGAAAACACCAAGGGCGCGTTGGTCTTCCACGAGCATAGTCCAGGTCTCGTGGCCGTAGAGGACCACCGGTCTAATCAGCGTCTTGTAGACAATCAACTTCGTGCGGCGGCAAATTTTATTCGACCCGAGCGTCCTCCGGAGTCCAAAGTAGGCACGATTCCCTGCCATAATAATCATTTTCGGCGGTCACCAGTGAGCCCAAATACAGGAACTCACCGACCACCTCGATTTCGTCACCGGCAATCTGAACTCGGGGTAGGAGGCTAACATTGTCTTCCCTGAACCTCTTCCTTTCATGTATTTTGTCTTTGATGCTTTGATGGCAAGTCCAATCCGCCTAGTTTCAGCCTTCAGTCTGATGTACGTTTCCGCCATCGTCGCAAAGTTCCGTGCCATGATGTCAATGTCATCGGCGAAGCCAAGATGCTGGATGGACTTCCTGAAGATCGTGTCTATCCCAGCTCTTCTGATCACACCTTCTAACGCGATGTTGAATAGCAGACACGAAAGTCCATCACCTTGCCGTAACCCCCTTCGAGATTCAAAGGGACTCGAGAGTGTCCCCGATACTCGAACAACGCACATCACTCGATCCATCGTCGCCTTCACCAATCGCGTCAGTTTATCCGGAAATCCGTACTCGTGCATAATCTGCCATAGCTGATCGATTGTGTCGTATGCGGATTTGAAATCGATGAACAAATGATGTGTGGGCACGTTATATTCGCGGCATTTCTGCAGAAGCTGCCAAATCGCGAAAATTTGGTCCGTGGTAGCGCGGGCACCTATGAATCCCGCCTGGTATTGCCCCACGAACTCTCTTGCAAATGGTGACAGGCGGCGGCATAGAATTTTAGGCGGCGCTCAGCAGTGTGATCGCGCGGTAGTTGCAGCATCCAACTTGTCGTCCTTTTGTAGATTGGGCATACGACACCTTCCATCCACTCCTCCGGTAATATCTCTTCCTCCCAAATCTTGGCAATTACCCAGTGCAGCGCTCTAGCCAGTGCTTCACCACCGTATTTTAATAGCTCACTTGGTAGTTGATCTACACCAGTTGCTTTGTTGTTCTTCAGCCGACCGATCTCCTCCTCAACTTCTTGAAGGTCAGAGGCCGGTAGCCTGTCGTCTTCTGCGCGTGCTCCAAAGTCTGTTACCATGCCACCTTTTAAGCTGCTTCACCATTGAGGTGCTCGTCATAGTACTGCTTCCACCTCTCAATTACCGCACACTCGTTCGTGAGAAGGTTACCGTCCAAGTCCTTGCAGGTAGCCGTTGCCTCGGTCTTCCTGCAGACGCTTCTTCCTTCGGAAAATCGAGTTTTGTCTGTTCCGCGCTTGTCTGTATCGCTCCACGTTCAATCTCGTGCGGTGTTGCAGCATTCTCGCTCGTGCTGCATTCTTCTCCTCTACTAACAGTTTGCATTCGCCGTCAAACCAGTTATTTCTTCGGCCCGGGATTGCAGTACCTAGTGCCACTGCAGCAGTACTACCTATGGCGGAATGGATGTCCCTCCAGCCATCTTCAAGAGAAACTGCGCCAAGCTGCTCTTCCGTCGGTAGTGGAACTTCCAGTTGCTGCGCGTAGTCCTGGGCAACTCCGGCGTCCCGTAGTTGCTCAATGTTGGGTCGCGGCGTTCGACTTCGACGGGTGTTATGCACCGTCGATAGTTTTGAGCGCATGCATACTGCAATTATGTAGTGGTCCGGACGTGCGGACGTTGATAATGTCGGAGAAGAATTTTCCGTCGATTAGAACGTGATCGATTTGGTTTTCTGTGTGTTGGTCAGGTGATCTCCAGGTGGCTTTATGGATATCCTTGCGGGGGAAAAAGGTACTTCGAATTACCATACCCCGAGAGGCTGCAAAGTTCACGCATCGTTGGCCGTTGTCGTTCGATACGGCATGCAGGCTGTTTGGCCCGATTGCCTCCCGTCAATGTCAGGACATTGCCTCCCGTCCTACCTGAGCGTTCATGTCACCGTTGACGATTTTGACGTCCCGTTGCGAACAGCCGTCGTACACCTGCTCCAGCTGCGCATAGAACACTTCTTTCTCGTCGTCGGATCTCCCTTCGTGTGGGCATTGCACGTTGATGATGCTGTAGTTGAAGAAACGGCCCTTAATCCTCAACTTGCACATCCTCGCGTTGATCGGGTGCCAACCAATCACGCGTAGGCGTATCTTACCCAGCACTACAAAGCCGGTTCCCACCTCGTTGGTGGTGCCACAGCTCTGGTAGAAAGTAGCCGCTCGATGCCCTCTTTTCCATACCTTTTGTCCCGTCCAGCAGAGTTCCTGCAGTGCTACGACTTCGAAGTTGCGTGGCTGAAGTTCGTCATAGATTAACCTATCGCAGCCCGGGAAGCCCAGCGATTTGTAGTTCCATGTTCCGAGTTTCCAATCGTAGTCCTTATTTCGTCGCGTAGGTCTGTGCCGGTTGTTCCGATCCGTATTTCTTTCTTCAGTATTTGCAACTTTATGTTTTTTTCCAAGGCGGCTTGTTGGGTCTGCCCCAACCCCCTGTCTCGCCGGGGGACCATCATGCACAGCTCTGTTTAGAGTCCCATGTTGGCACTAGGACGGTGATCAGCCGCTCCTAACATGGAGAACAGACGCCGTTTTGAGCCGCACCTCCATGGTGAATAGACGCTCGGGATTGGTGAAGCATTTCCTCTATCACCGTTATGATTACCGCGCCAGTGTTCGCGTCGCACCTCTTCACTTTGCTATTGCCGGACTGGCAACATTGCCCATGCTACGCCACCCAGCTGTGTCCATGTTTCAGCTGGTAGTCTTTTGTCTGACTCGATATGTGAATGAATGACCCGATCATATGACTCGGGGAGGCGTGAAGTAGGAACTTATGAGGACCAGGGCTAGGTATTCCGTTCCTTCCAGGTTGTCAACTCACCATTTTGTAGCCCATTATTGGGATTATTGTCTTTGAAATAATCATTCTTTAATTTATAATATTGATTAGCTTCTTCTTATTCCCCAAAGACTGTTGCTGTTACTTGTGAAATAAAGACTAAACAAATGTTACGTTTTAGCTTCTAACGGATTGAATTGTCAGTATACGGTATGCAATATTCATGACATACAGTAGCAAAATATTCAAAATGGTAGTACAATGTTTGCAAATTTAAATAGAGGCCTATGCTTTGTAATTTTTATTTAAAATATAACAGGCAACCTCAAATGAGAATCAGTTTATCTGTCATAATTCTGTAACATCAAAATATAATGTCAAGCACATTTCAAATTTTGTTTAATTTTGTTGTTGAAATGCACTTTAATTAGCGTATCACCGATCCGGTTATTGTAAAATAAACATTAGTCAGTTGCCGAAAAACAATCAACTCTTTGAAACCTAATTTTGAATGGAATAGGAACAGAATTTTGAATTTCGAAAAATTAATTTTCAATTAACGATATTGAGTGTCGCCTAACTTCAAAACTTTGAATAATTGATTGATTGATTTATCTTTATTTAGGAGGCTTTCAGCCTAAGGCTGGTTCGCCTCCAATACTTTGAATATTTATCTAAGTGTTTATTGCTTTTGTAATTTAATTTATAAATCAATAATTATATACATCTTCTTTTTTAAATAAGTACGTCCATACTGGAACTTTACGCCGGTTCTCAACATAGTGTTCTTTGAAGACATCCACAGTTATTAACTGATAACTTTCTCGGCCTATTATACCATCTTCACATGTGTACATGCAAAACAAGGTTGGGTTTATTAAATCCTCTGCATATATTTCTTTCAACAAATGTAATGGCAGTTCTTGCAAAGGACCTTCCGGCGACCAATTTATCAAATGGAACACAGCCTAAATTTGAGTTGGCAAGCTAAAAGTTTCGACAAAGTGATTTTTGAATCTTAGTTTACAAAAGCACATATGTACCTACGCCCTTTTGAAAATGCCTCCAGTTATTGTTTTCACAATTTTCATAGAAGCAGCGAAAATAACAATTGTAGGAAGGTTTAAAAGTCACAGTACTTACTTAATAATACTTACAATCACGCCCTGCCACCGATTCTAGCATTAGGTGGGAAAACCGCTGGAATTTTAAAATAGAAATTCAGTTACCCCCTATCATAAGTCTTAGTCATCTGGTTTTCCTGCACTTCGTGCCCATTTAAACCTCAAGCGACCCTGATTCCTTGCACATGATTTATCCAGGTGAAGGTAAATTGCCTGTGTAATTACATAAAATGTATCCAAATCGAGCATGATAACTCAAATATTCATACCTTCTTATTTCAGGGTCAGGAGCAAGCGCTAGATCTGCTCCGCGAGCTGCAGCGTTTGAATATTGATCTCGACATACTGACTAAGACGCGCATTGGTATGACAGTCAACGAACTGCGCAAGTGCAGCAAGGATGACGAGGTTATTAGTTTGGCAAAGTCGCTAATTAAAAGTTGGAAACGCTTCCTAGCGGCGACACCACCCTCGAAGGAAGCATCCAAGGAATCGTCGAAGTCATCGAGCAAATCCTCAAGTAAAAATAGCAGCAAATCGGAGAGCAACAGCAAAAAGGAATCCGAGAAGGAGAAAGAAGCTAAAAAGCCAACCCAAACTAGTTTTCCGTCTCAGTCGAGTAATACAACCGATGCCGTTCGTCTGAAGTGCCGCGAGATGTTGGCCAATTCCCTGCGCGTCGATGGAGATCCACCAGAGGGCTGTCAGTCCCCGGATGAACTAGCGGATGAGCTTGAAGAGGCAATTTTCTCTGAATTCAAAAACACCGACATGAAGTACAAGAACCGGGTGCGTTCCCGGGTGGCCAATCTGAAAGATCCGAAAAATCCCAGCTTGAGGGGTAACTTTGTCTGCGGTGCTATTACCGCGCAACGGCTTGCCAAAATGACACCCGAAGAGATGGCCAGTGATGAAATGAAGAACCTGCGTGACCGTTTCGTCAAGGAAGCAATCAACGACGCTCAACTGGCCACTAACCAGGGAACCAAAACCGACCTTCTCAAGTGCGGCAAATGTAAGAAACGTAACTGTACATACAACCAGCTGCAAACGAGAAGCTCCGATGAACCGATGACGACATTCGTTCTGTGCAACGAGTGCGGAAATCGTTGGAAGTTCTGCTAAATTCGAACCGAGGACGTATTTCTACTAATTCTTTTGAAAAGATCACAAACCATGCGGAGCAAACCCGGTTTATATTACGATCAATCCTAAACATAACTTATATGTTTGCTTACGTCTCGCAAAATAAAAATACGGCGAGAAGCAGAAGTTGTAGTGTTAAGAACAAGACAATGATTTGATCAAGTTGAATAAGCTACAAATTCTACCTTAAAAACAGTTCACAATTAAACCTGGAGTTGTTTGTTTGGCGCAAAATACCACGAAAAATCACCTCAAATGCAAAGGTTTTGCTCATAAATCCCAAAGAACGGGAAGAGAGCAAGCCTTCCTTATAAGGATAACCTTTAGCGTACGTGTTATGCTGAATCAATCTAGCGTGTAGAGCACCCCTTTGGTAAGCTATAGAGGGAAGCTTACTGGTAATTTTTAACGATAGAAATTTGTGGTTGGTTTGATAAAGATATAATTTAATTATGTAAAGATAAAAACCTGCCTAGTGTGTAACAAATAAAATTGATGAAAAGCAAACTGCGTGTGACATAGTTTTTAATTTTTCATTATTCCCTAAATAGGATCTTGGTTGTTTTCATTTTCAATTGGAATATTATTTATTATTATGCTAATTATAGAAGTATCACAGACCATGTGATGAAAGTTCGGTTGGAATTTCATAAAAAATCAAACTCTGCGCGGCTTGTGAGTCGAGGTGATGGTGAAGTGACAATAATTCCCCTTTATTCTGCGAGTCACGTGACTCTCTGTCACCGGTGAGGTGACAATTGTCACCTCGTGTGAGGTGACTCTCCATGTAAATCAAATGGAGAGTCACCTCACCGGTGAGAGAGAGTCACGTGACTCGCAGAATAGGGGGGATTGTCACCTCTGGTGAGATGACTCTCCATTTGATTTGCTCGGAGAGTCAGCTCACCCGAGGTGACAATTATTGTCACTTTACATGACCGCGGTTCATCTCACCTCAAACACGTCGCAGAATAGGCCTTACTAACTATAAACGCACATGTGCGAATAGGATGGTCGCACTATGGCTAAGTTCCTTTCAACCATATATAAAATTATATTTTGTTACCTTTGATGTGATCTGACGCTTAACGTAAAGTATCAGTATGTACACATGGTCCCCCCTATTCTGCGAGTCACGTGACTCTCTCTCACCGGTGAGGTGACTCTCCATTTGATTTGCATGGAGAGTCACCTCACACGAGGTGACAATTGTCACCTCACACGAGGTGACAATTGTCACCTCACCGGTGAGAGAGAGTCACGTGACTCGCAGAATAAGGGGGAATGATTTCGGCGTTAACAGGTAAATTATGCATTTGGTACGATACTTTAGTTCAAATGCTACCGAACGAAGTCAAAAAGAACGCGTGATATGAATGTTTGCACCCAATATTCTCAAATACAAATGTAGCGCTCCGACCGAAAAAATCTTTATCTTCATCCGATAGGCCGAAGTGAATTAATTAGCGTTTCAATGCGTTAGGACGAGTTTAGAATCCGTAGGCCGAGTTTGGCGTCAAGAAGCAGTGTTAGACGTTTAACAATATCTCAACAAAGGTAAATAAATTTGGAAGCCATCAGTAATAATAACATTTTGTTTGGTGCTAAGCTGCGCTAGATGAAGACAGACTAAGTGCGGGTTGTGCTTAATAGGCCGGAAATGGGGTAGTTAACCCTAATATGAACCTAACACACTTATCAACCCCTAGTGTATACACAAATTATGGACAGTAATGTAAATGGTGTATACAGCATTTTACACCCCTTTCCTTCTGACCCCCTCAAAAAGCTACATGTGCTTTTGTTGAGTTTTTCGCCTTTTTTTGCTTTTCAAGAAAAACACCTTGCTGTTAAAATGTATCGCCTTCATTCCTGTTTTCGAATCAATCAGACACGTTATACATATTTTAGTGAGTGACGTATGCAATTTGTTTTAAAGCAGGAATAAGGGCCATTAATAAATGACATAGCATATTTTAGAATAACCCCTCAAATTCTACGACGTTTATGCATCTTTCCTAAAGGGCTTCATTAGATCCGGATCTGACGCGTTGCGGTAAAGTGACAGCTAAATCTATTGTCTACTCAAATTTACGTCAACGCAACGCAAACGGATCTAATGTGGGTGGGCCTTTAAGGGAGTCCGATGCTAAAATGCCTTCCTGATGGCTACATCTTACTTCAAGTGTCGCTTGTACTTGGGCTAGTGAGAAATTTTGAAAAATTAGGAAAGAGGACGGATCTCTCACTGTCTTTTTCATGAGTATGAAGCATTGATGAGGAAGAGACATTCCAATAGCCATCGGTCCATTGTTTGATACCGTGTACATACGGTACATACTTCACAAGAATGATGCTTTTTTCTAAAGGGACGATACATTAATTATGCCACACTCTAAGGAGGAGGGGTTTAGACATCTAGACAAGCAATGCGTTCGATATAGGAAAAACCGTGAGGAAGGGGGTTAATGTTTCCTCAATTTTGCGTGACATAATTAAAGTATGGCCCCAAATTGATCGCTATAAAAAGCTCTCTTCACGATCAAGCTTCATCAAGTCAAGAGATTGCAGCAAAAAATAATCAGCAAACTCGATCTCGCTCGGTTTCTCTCAGCTTGCTTTGATGAGTCTCTCGCGGCATTTTTTGCGCTCACACAATCCTCATTGGCGCGCACCGGCCGAATTGAACAAAAGCTAGCGCACGTTGTCCAGAACACTTCAAAGCAAGCTGTGAGTTCGATTCGGAAGGATCAATTCTATATAGTGGAAGTGAATTCTAGTCTGATCCGTGCTACATTACCTTTATCTTTTTCTAAGCATCTCTGCTAGATTCAATTGACGAAACAGGTGAGTGTTGTTTTATCATAAGAGAAGTGACCATATAGTTAGTAGGTTTCCCTTTGATGGTTACGAGCTATTATATTGTACATTGCGCACATGATTGGTGGGATTAGAAGTGCGCAAACACACATTTGACTGAAATTTCACGATAAATCGTTTTGGTAACTTTGGCATCCTTATTCCTTTGGTCATAAGGAATAAGTGCGCTGAAGACACTAAGACGATACAACGTCAAAGCGTAGTTTTATAAGTGTCTGCGCACTTCTAATCGCACAAAACATGTGCGCCATATCCAATAATCAGATCGAAACAAAGTGTTAATAAAAAAGTGAAATGCAACATCGAGGGTGATAATTGAAACGAACGATGGTGGTCAGTGAAGTGTATACAATTGTGTGCAAAATTGAGTTCTTTTGTATAGTTTGATGGCTCGTTTTTAGGTCTATCTATAGGCAATATCATCATTTATAACTGAGTAAACTGAAATTAAATTCTTCTTAAATTCGATAAAAAATTACAATATTTGTTTGTACAAATCACTAGGCATAACCGTCAATGTCGTTTACACCTATGCGGTCGTTTGAATTAAAATTCAATCAGATAAACTATGTGTTGAAAAACATGGCGCTGTTGCTATATTAGCCATTCTATTTGGGAAGATAATCGGGCGCTTTCTGGACGCAGAAAAAAGAGCATGGAAGCCTCAAACTAGCCATCTTGGCAGCCAAACAATACAGTTCAGTGCTCATCGAGCATCCTATAAAATTGTTCATCGGCGAGCATACAAGAAAGATACACTTTATGAAGCTCGTAAAAATGGCAATTACTGCGAGACAACTTGTGAGATTTAAGGAGTCATTGCAATGGAATCATTTCGAGGGTAGTTTAACACTCCGAACACGATGCCTCCGGTAAAATGTGTAACGGAAAATTGCAGCAATTTATCGAAAGTTTTTGAACCTATTGATACCAAAAAAATCTTTATAGTTTGTAGTTTCTAGTGGTGGCAATAGATTCGAAATTCGCCAATACATCGCTGAGGTATGATTTTTCAAACATTGCAAGTTTGCCGTTACTCATTTTATATGAGGCTTCGTGTTCGGAGTGTTAATAGCTTTCTTTTTAATGCGCAAATTGCAGTTTTCTTCAAAATATGTCGTATAATTCCACGTTTTTCCTTACGCTTTGTGTATTGAATAGCTATGGTGAAGAAATTCTCTCAAACAACGTTTACGGTGAAATTAATATGGGTTTTTCAAAAGCACGTGTAAAACAACACGAATTTCTTTACACGTTTTAACTGCGTTCCTTTCTTACACAAATCGACATGCTTTTCAACAAACAATAAATTATTATTACAATGTAGGGTAAGGTGGGGCAAGGTGGGTCATCTACTTGATTTATTTATATTTTTTGTTTGTCAAAATCAACAGGCTGAATGTAGGCACAATGCTGGTTTTAATAAGCAAAACATCATTGGGGTTGCATTGAACCTGTTGACAAACAAATAAATTCATAAATGTACTAACTGATCCTATCCCGTATTTCCCTACATGTTATACAATTTGGTGTAGTTATCAAATTTAAGAAGCTATTGTGTAACTCTTTTAAAGGATGGCTGCTTTACGGCTTTCTTCAACCATTTAATTTAAAGATTATTTTTTCGAACAATTTGACTACAAATTATTTTAAAATTTTGACATTTAAAACAACTGAACTGAAATGACCTTGGCGGTTCTCATTTTAATTGTCAGCTATAAACATGCGAAGTAGACACAGCTAAACAAACACATTGGCAGTACAAAAGCTGAGAAAGCATTTTTGCCAGAATAAACTATTGTTCAGCTTTCTTTCCTAGTCTTTTTTTTTAAGCCGAGCAGTTCCGCCTCATTCTAGCACCTTCATCAGCGTCAAGTACTCCGTTGCTATGGAGAACTAAGGAAGTGACTATTCGTTTTTGGTGGTTTTGATAGAAATCCCCATTCACGATTTCAATCGAATCGAAGTAGGGAACAAGGGTAAGAGTTATAATTCATTCTCGCTCTCGTCTCATCAAGTGTAATAAGTGACATTAGACCACGCTGCAAGGCCCTTGGTACTTGCCTTCTCATGTTTCCAATCACAGTTCAAAAAAGAGTTTCAAAACCGGCAACAATAAAAGTTTAGAGTCGGAGTTCGATATGGTAGATCTTATTCCGTAATGCACCAGAGACGATCTATGGACGCAGACTTTTCGGATTGAATAGCTTAAATCTTAAAACAATTCCTTCGTGTAAGATTGTAACAGTTTTCAGAGTGACCGATCATAAGGTTTTCTAAAATAAGCATTATGGAACTTTTGTCTGACGAAAAGATCATAGGAATTTAAGTAACTACAGGTCGGCTCAGTTTTCATGTTCAGGTTCCAAGTGCGGTTGTTGTCTAAGCTAAGGATCTCAAAAATGCTTCGTCCGAGATCTTGGATTTATTCATCTTGAAACTTCAGGGTTTAGATCTAATTTTGGGCCTAGTGAGCACAACCCACCTCTCTTTTTCGAGCGGATTTTAAAACAAAATTGAATTTTTCTATTGATTACTCCCAAATCTATTTACGTTTCCATGCGTACCGTAAGATTTGATAAGGAATCACAAATTGTTGAGATATTGTTAAAAATCTACACTGTTTCTTGATTCCAAACTCGACCTACGGATTCTAATTTCGTCCTAATGCATTGAAACGGTTGTAGCAGTTGTAGGTAATTTGGCCTAAATTCGTTTGGCATAATGGTCATTTGGCTTAAAGTTTTTTGACATAATGGTCATTTGACCATTATCCATTGGCAAACGGCCGTTTGGCATAATGCATAACATTTTGAATTAAAAACAGTGAAAATTTTCCATTCTTTAAAACAATAGTAGTTCTGTCAAGTTCGATATCAGCTAATGGGAGGTTCACTGGAAATTGATGTTGTTAGTCAATATGTATAGACTTCTCTGACGTTTGTGAATTGCACAAGTATTAGTGCAGAACTTTGGGTAAATTCAAAGCTTTTCTTGCACTAATACTAAATAATTTACCCCGATTTCTGCACTAATACCATAGAGGTAACTCTAAGACCACTGGGTCCCGAAGAAAATCATTATTATTTTTGGCTCACTCAGTACCAGAACAACGGTCCCAAGCAGTCCCAAGCTATTTCACTCACCCCTGCATGTTCTGCATGAATCCACACACCCCTGATGTTATCTGTCAAACTTTCATAGCGAATCAAAACAAACATAGTGTAGTAATAGAATTTCAATTAGAATAGGGTACGTTAATCGTTTGCTTGGGACCAATAGGCTACTAAAGTGGTGAGCCAATTTAAAATCGTTAGTTTCGTATTGATTGTTGCTAATACTTGTGCATTTCACAAACGTCAGAGAAGTCTATATTGTCTTCGCTCTTACCCAGGGATAAAATGACGGGTTCGTGGATTTTCCTATGTTTCGAGGGGTGCATCGATTAGCTTGGGACCGAAGAGAGTACCAGTGCTGAACCAAAAAGTTGAGCACGTTTCTTCGGGACCTTCTATGCTATAACCATAAAAAAGAAAGATTTTGGCGAGGGGAGCGACTCTATCTCCGATGCAGGAAAGATTGTGTTTTGCTGTGGCTAGCTGCGCGCACACTAAGTAGATAGAAAGAAGATTGATGATGATTCTGAAGATTCTGAAGATTTCCTCCAAAATATGCTGCGCGATGCAAGCATAGAGGTAACTCTAAGACCACTGGGTCCCGAAGAAAATCATTATTATTTTTGGCTCACTCAGTACCAGAACAACGGTCCCAAGCAGTCCCAAGCTATTTCACTCACCCCTGCATGTTCTGCATGAATCCACACACCCCTGATGTTATCTGTCAAACTTTCATAGCGAATCAAAACAAACATAGTGTAGTAATAGCATTTCAACTAGAATAGGGTACGTTAATCGTTTGCTTGGGACCAATAGGCTACTAAAGTGGTGAGCCAATTTAAAATCGTTAGTTTCGTATTGATTGTTGATGCAAGTAGATGCGAGAAGATAAGAGAAATGAAAGATGATTTTCCGAAGATTAATTCACTACTGTGAGATTTTTTAAGAATCAAGAATTGAGATTTAGATGTGTCGCCCTCCTCGGATTTTGGTAGCTTTATTTGCTGTTTCGTTTTGCTTCAGCGCTCCGTTTCGCATCGTTCCATTTGAGAAGTTCCACGCCAAATGACAAATCGCAAATCTCGACCTTTTCCGATTTGCAAAAAACTTTGCATAATTGTGTGTTATGGGTAATCATTCACATTTTTACAACAATTCGGCCATTTTGGACGCCGTAATTTTTATCACAAAGGCTTCTGTCATTTTTCAATAAATTGTAGAAAGAAAACGTGACTTCTGATCGAAAAGCCGTTGTAGAGAAAATCAGTGGAAACCAACGAAAATCGGTGGAAACCAACGATTTTAAATTGGCTCACTACTTGACTAGCCTATTGGTCCCAAGCAAATCGATTAACGTACGCCATTCTAGTCAAAATTCTAGTACTACACAATGTTAGTTTGATTCGCTATGAAAGTTTGACAGATAAAATGAGGGGTTCGTGGATTTTCCTATGTTTCGAGAGGTGCATCCAAAGATGAATACTAAGATGAAACTGTCGGAAGAAACACTTTCTATTTTAGTGTCTTCTTTCACGGTCCCTTTCATCCAATGAGAACCCCCGGTATTCAAGGTAATTTTGTGGTTTTGCTGCCCCCTCGGAAGAGATGAAATTTTGCGCTCATTTTTATCAAAACAATCAAACCAAAATCAGAGATGTCCCATTTTTTAATTACTCGATTAACAACTAATCGATTATTTTTTGTTCGCTGTGCTGCAATTTTTCCACCAATGAGAGTGCAGCACATGTTTGAAACGATCGGTGATGATCCTGTGGAGATGTTAATGCTTATATCGGCATGATCTAACCGATTATAAATAGTTTACTTTTCGGTTCGTTAATCGATTAAACG